CAACGGAAGGTTTCCAGATGGATATGCGGAGCAAATCCATCTGGCGGAGTCAGGTTACTGGTTTATACACAGCAGGTTGATCCTTTATCGATATTTAAACTCACAGGTGTCATTTGCAGATGTCTGAGAAGTAAAACAATTCAAACAAACTTTAGGAATGTCAATAATATATTGGCTAAAATGTAGAGGACCTGATGCAGAACCCTGAGGTACCCCAATATTTACATTTAATATTTTACATTAACTTTAAATGATAAAAGAAAAAGGACCTTGTAGTTAGAGATGTTGAAAGTCTTAGTTTTACCTTAAGAATGCTTCTGTCTCCTTGAACCCCAGTCGGCCTCGGCTGATGCCCGCTCACACTCAGTGGAGAAAAATCGAAATCTAGAGAAGTCATTTTTTCTTAAAATAAGTGCATTTGTTCTGGTGTTAAGGAGATAAAAGAGACATTTTGCCAATGGAACGAGACAATTTACATTTATTTCAAGTGCATGTTATCTAATTATCTTATTTTAAGAGTAGAAATACTCATTCCATTTTCAAACTATCTCATTTACCTACTCAAATTAAGGGTAATTTAATTTAAGAAATTAAGTAATTTAATTTAAGTAAAAAGGGTAACTTAATTTAAGAAATTTTTACTTATTTCTAGATAGTTTTTCCAGTGCAGAGTCTGGTTCTGCTGGGGGTTTCTTCCTGTTAAAAGGGAGATTTCCTCCGCACTGTCGCTACAAGCATGGTTGGTGTGAGGGATTGCTTTCCGGTCAATGAGTCGATGCAATCAACTGGTTTTCCTTAGATAGAAAACTTTGAATCAATCTGACTGGATGATCTGGTGAACTGGAAAGAGCCTTGAGATGACAAATGTTGTGAATTTGGCGCTATAGAAATAAACTGAATTGAATTGAATTGAACTACTGTACTGTAAAATAATATAGTCATAAATAAATAAATAATCATTTTAATCATCAACACGAACTGAAGGGTTCATATTGCATTGATCAGCACCACCCCGCCGTGACGGATTGGAACGGGAGAAAATGAAAAATAATAATGAAAAAAAATATAAAGCACAGTAGGACAAATAGTGACTGACGTGTTCAGTACAGTATTTCACTGCTGTTCTGACGGAGCCGCTGCATCCTGAATCTGCTCTGTGGCGTTTTTTTCTTCTAAAGCCTGCGGTGCATTACAAAAAACATCAAGAATTAAGAAAAACTTTCTTAAATTGAGTGTATTTACCCTCAATTTTAGCAGAGAAATAAGATGATGAGTATTTCTACTCCTAAAACAAGATAATTAAATAGGTGGAAACCGGCCATGACCATATTAATGCAGTAAAACTTTTATTTATTTATTTATTTATTTTTTATTATTATTATCATTTTTTCTTTCTTTCATTCTATTTTATTCAATTTCTATTGTATTTTTTTTTATATTTACTTATTATTTTCTATTTAATTTTTATCCCATTAGTGCTGCTTATTTAATTACTAACTATATTTATGTTTGTAAGCTACTTATGTTTAACCATGTGACCTACTTTACTTTTAAGCCTAACTTGTTGTATATACTTTCAAAGTTTTGTTCTTTTTTAAAACTTTACCATATTGAGCGGTAGCCTGAATGTAGGCTTGTATGTATATGTCTGTGTAAGTTGCAAAAATTTAAATAAAAATTAAGTGATTAAAAAAAAACAAACAAGATAATTAGATAATATGCACTCCAAATAAGACAAAGCAATTGTTTTTTTCTTATTTTAAATGTAAATTGGCTTGTTCCACTGGTAAATTATCTCAATTACCTCCTCAAATCAAGAAAAAATGCACTTAATTTAAGCAAAAATGACTCATTTAGATTTCCATTTTTTGCAGTGTGCAGGTGTGTTTTTTTAGAGAGAGGAACATAGTTATAGTTATAGTTGTTGTCGCTCTTTTTTCTTCTGGGCCAAAAGATCCTTATAAACCGACATGCCACCATTAATATGTTTGACAATAAAGTTTAACAATGCATGATGCAAATCCGTGAAGCAGCGAGACCGTGAAAAGTGAACCGCATGATAGCGAGGGTTCACTGTACTTGAAAAAAATCTGCTTTTTGGTGGAGTTTCTGAGAGACAAATTGTTATGAAAATAGAGTTTTATTCTTTGTTTTGAGTATTTGTTCGTTAATCTATTTTTCATATTTAAATGAGTTAGAGAATGTTTTTCACCCAAATATCTGCTTAAAAAGAATCTGTGTTAACTGAACTTAAATTGTGATTTAATCTATTTAGTTTAAAACTTTTTTTTTTTTAAACGACAAATAAAAAAATGTAAAAAGTGTTTATTTTATCCTTGTTTGCTCCTTATTGAAAGAAGGCGCTCAGTAAATTACAAGATTAATTTCGACCTCAATGGTCACTTTGATGGCTCTGTGTAGAAATGTCCTAAATCAGTCAGTGGGTCTCTAATGGTGAATATTATCCTGTTGTATTTAAGCGTTTATTTATTTTTTTCTCTCTTTTTTTGCTGTCACACTTGCTCTACTTTAGTATATATATATTTTTTTTTTTTGTATAGCCACATCACATTTTCTTTGCAGGCTTTGTCTCTATGACTCCAGCTATATGTCGGCCATATTGTATCCCTGAAAGTAGCCTTGCAGACCTCCTTGGTGGCTGCGATTCATGGTAGTTATTTCTCCTCCCAGGGGCTTACAGGTGTTTCTCTACTTGCTTTAAAGTCTTTACTGTGATCAATGATGTGTTTTTATTTTTTTTAACTTGAAGCCTTATATCCTGCGTCTGAACCTAGACATGCCTGGAACATCGGCTTGTTGTTGCTTCATTTGCAATCATCCCAGTGGGCTTTGTTTCCACCTGGAATGCTTTTTCTCAGAATCTAGCGGTGACACAACAGTTCTACAGCAAAAACCCAGCATAGTGATTTACAAACTGAAAATATGATCAAAGATGATAACATTTCTAATTCTTAAATGTTTTTTTTAGATCTTACTTTCTTGTAGAAACAGCGTCTCTGATTAATATTTCAGGTAATCGCTGGATTGAATTCGGGGCTGGATTTAAGCTGCATTTGTGTTTGTCTGATGAACATAATTTTTCTGTATATCAAACCATTCAAAGCACAGTTTGAAACAAGGTGTTTGCTTATTTAATCTAGCTCAATATTTATGATCTTGTTTTATTCATATATGAAACCAAGAATTCAAACCTTTTATCACTGAAATATTTTGTATTTCTACTTTGTATGTTACCTTTGGAGTCTGTAGGCTCTGCAATATTCAGTCTCACTATCTGTCTGACCTCCCTTTTGTTTTACCCATCTCTCTTCCAGTCCAGTACTCCTCTGGGCGCTCAGATGTCTGAAAGAAGAGTACCGTCTCCAGGTACTGACCTTACACACTCAGTTTCACACATCCCTTCAGAACATGATGATTTTTTCACAGACATAAACAAAAAATAACCAGTAGCTGAACGCATAAAGAAGAAGAAATCATTTAATAATGAAAACATGCGGCCTTCAGGTCCAGACTTCTATGAGTTCTATGTCAGAGCTTTATGCAAACGACGAATCAAGCTGCAAAAACGTGTTTGATGCAAACTCCAAAATTTCAAATAAAAACAATAAATACAACAGAAAAACTGCTACCACCACTAAAATAGAAGCAAAAACCAACAAACAAAATAAATGCAAACAGAAAATGCTGAGATAACAGAAATAAAATGATGCAAAGTGCTCCTGACCACTAGAGGGAGCCAAAGAAAGAACAAACCATATTGGACCAGAGCGTCACTTGTATATGTCACTGTAGGGTTATTCTGTAATACTGTGAGACTGTGTGTTTGAAAATAAAATGAAAGATTTATAGGCTGTTACAGTGTGTTTGAATTGAAGAAGAGAAGAACTTTCCTTCTTTTAATAAAAATCCTGCCTTTAAGCTTAACTTCCTGTTTGTACGGAGGGTCTGGTGCAGTATGCGTGGTTAAGGTTAGGGTAGGGTAAGTAGGGTAGCGCTCAGTTTTAAAGCATTACATGAAAAGGGGTGAAACAATAAGATATTTCAGTGTTTCACCTGCACAAGGAGAACTGGTCACATACAGTCGTTAGGCTGACTGATCGTTAAAGCAAAATAAAACAGCCAACATAAAACACGGAGTAGAACAAACCTTTTGTATTATTTGTAAAGTGACCTTGAGTGTCAAGAAAGGCGCTGTTAGATAAAATGTATTATTATTATTATTATTAAAGGAAAAGTCCAGTCGGCAAGGAATAACCAATGGGTCATTATTTATACGGTACCTTAAACTAATACGTTCACGTTGATTTAATTAATTTGGCATTAATCAGTAAAAAAACAAAAAACTATATTTTTCGTCACGATCAGAATCAGAATCAAAAATACTTTAATAATCCCAGAGGGAAATTACTTTTGTTTCACGCTCCAGTTACAGTTTTATATAATATATACACACATCCAACTATACAATATAATAAAGATAAAAAAAAAAATAAGAATAAAAAGTGATAAAATATATACACATATGGCTCTTCTGTATATATATCTATACGTATATCTATCACTGTGTCCGGGTGCGGCCATTTTTGCCCAAATTTAGTAACCCCTCCCTCCTGCCATCTTCCAGCAGTGATGTCACGGTGCGGTAAGCCTAGCGCCATTCTCCCCGCTTTACAAGCTAAATCAATGGGAACTACTAGACACATCTGCAATCAACAACAATTATTGAAGATTTCCAGAGGACTTCACCTTTAAAATTCACCAGAGCTATAGTGAAACTGACAATGCCGTCGCGAACGGCAGCTGGATGTTGATCCTCCACGGACGGTTTCGTCGTCTGATTGCCAACGTGAAGAGGGAGGGAAAAAAAACACGTCATTAATCCGTTACTCTCTGCTTCGCATAGTGCCCAGGTCGTCGCCATCTTGGATAATAGCGCGTTGTGACAAACACCAGATACAGCACTGGGACTTGCTCAATGCCCGATACCGCACCGTGACGTCAGAAACCTTTAGGTGGCAGTAGTGTTCTTTGACAAACATGGATGCCTCCATACTCTTAATTGAAAACACTTATTTATTAAAAGTGTATAATAATTTCATACTTAAAGTACTTTCAGAAGTTTGTATTCTGAATGTGAGCAGACTTTTCCTTTAAAATCTTATCATAGTTTCTATTACCTGATGAATGTTTAGGCTTTAAATGCTGGGAAACTATGATGTCTGACTTCTGTCAAACTGATCTCTGCATGCTCACATTCACACAGCTCAGGCTCTCTGTAGGTTGAATGGTGAAGCTGTGATGAAGCCATTTGGTCTCTTAACTTTCAGACCTCACTGAGGATTCCAGTGGCCGGTATCCTGAAGCCACACAGAGGAGGGAGTCTCTCAGAAGGAGCCCTGACAATCAGAAGGACGTCATACGATGTACGCTACCAAACACATTCTTTTTATCTCTATCTATTAATTATGTATTTTCTCCTGCCTGCAGGATAGAACACAGCTCTGTTGTTGCTTGTTCTCCTGTTTCTTCCCACTTCCACCACAGCTTTAGCTTTAACATCCAGCCTTTAGTTAGAAGTTTTACTTTTTCATACCTGTGAATAAATGGAGAGAACTGGCTGTGCTAGATCAAGTAGAATACGCTTGTATTGCACATCAAAAAGTTGTAAAATGCATACAGAGACTAACAAAATAATTCAGATTCACTTGATGGAGGGTTAAGCATTAATATATAATTTTCAGATCGTTTTACAATAAGCGAAAAGTGTGGCGTGCTGCTAGTTTAAGTTTGTACATTTCAAGGCTCAGTTTTTTGTCCTCTTTTCTTTGCCAAATAAGTCAAAATGTGTTAGATAAATTAAGGAATACCTGCTAATGTTTTTAATTGGTTTACTTTTGTGTCACTGTTGTTCCTCTTTCAGAGAAAAGAGCTGCCTAACTCTTCCACTTTCCTTCCCTCATGACGTTTTGTGATGCTATCTGAAAAAAGAGCTCCAAATACAAATGCATGCCACACGCTCAGGAATCATGGAATATTTATTTATTTACAATTCAACAATCAGGGGATTTTTTGTGTTAAACTTTCTCACAAGATCTAAAATGAAAACTCTTAAATCGGTTTTTGTAACCTGACAAAACAAGCAGAAACAAATTTGTTTGCCAACAAGCATGTTTTACGTTCTTTGACCACTAGAGGGCATCTGCTCAGTTTCTTGCTGCTGCCAGTCAGGCAAATCAGAACTTTAACTTTTCTTCTTGTTTGCCTTTATTTTAAAATAGTTTTGTCTTACATTCTACCACATTTTTTAGTTGTTTTTGTTTGTGTAATGATTGATGAATAACCATAGTGAAGAAAACCTCTGCGGTTATTTTTTAGGGTTTTTAGTCCTTGATAGATAAAGATGAAGTTTTGTATTTCAGCCCTTCCTCCCATCCCAACCACTAATCGACCTGGCAGCGCAAAGAAGCCCCAAACCCCCATCCACTCATCCTCAGAGGCCAACAAACTGTACACCGAGCTGCGGAAACAGAAGAGAAGCAAGACGGCGGATGAAGAGAAACTGCTGGAAAAGAGAGTCCAGCGCCTGGAAAGGGAGCTGGAACAGAGCCAGGCTCCCTCCTTCACGGGTTCCTCTGCAGGTAGCATGGAGGAACATGGCCGACTTTAACTATTTGTTCCAATATAAACATAAACTTTGGTAAATAGATCAGACAGTTAAATAAAGCCAAGGATCTCAGCACTCATTAAGAAGAAAGATACCGGTAGTTTAAAAACTTGAAATGAATAAATAACATTTGAAATTTAAAAAGGTTTAATATTTTTATTCATTACACCCAGAGGTGAGTAGAAACTAGGTACATTTACTTAGTTACAATTACATAAGTTACCTAATACAAAAAAATATAAAAACAAACATGTAGGACTCCTTGTATTTTATGAAATGTTTTAATCTTACTTAAGTAATATATTCGTATCACTATTCTTATTTCAGTAAACTTTATTGTAACTGACCACCACTGGTAGCGTCTGGGATCTGGTAAATATACAATAAGAGTAGATGTTGTTACTGGAAATTCTTTATCCTTACTAACACATACAGATAACCTAAAGTATTACACAACAAAAGTTTAAAGAAGGGCGTTACTTCTGCAAAAATAGACTTTTTTTTCAATTTTAAGATTTGAATTGGCAAATGACTCTCAGTCGGATTACATAACATAAGAAATTACACAACAAAAACTAATTGAAAAGGACTTACTTTAATTTACATTTTTGCAGTGTAAACATGGCTGGTACTAGACAGGGGCCAACGGGGGCCAGTGCCCCTGTAGCTCATGTCCTGGCCCCTGTACTGAAGACATAGTAATACAGGGTTTATACATGAATGAGTAACTCTAACTAATACCCATGACTTTTTTTATTTATATATATATAT